AGTGGCCGATTATATACTTTCAAGCTGGGAGGGGTTTGGGGATAGCGTAAGTCTCTAAGGAATTTGGAAGCAAGGTTTCCAGGACCTTGAAGTGCTAACTATTGTTAGGAAAAGGTCATTTACTACTGTCTAGTAAAACTTCTCATGAGACCCCTCAGAAGTTTATCAGTGGGCCATATGCTTGGAGGATGACTGCTAACATATATCTTGGGGGTGGGCGGAGGCAGGGTAGAGATAAGGAAGTTCCCAAAGGGACTTTTATGGGATCCTGGAGATGGGCTAACATCGAGCTATGGTTGCCTCTTGCCTCTAACTAAGTATTGACATTGAGGCAGCTAAGCAATGAGGAAGGTCACTCTGCCTGTCTCAAGTACTTGTCAATGGGCTGTAAGTTGTTAAGGAAGTTTTTCTTTTACCTTTGTTCTCCACATCACTTACTATTACTGGATTATTACAATACCACAGAAGTAGTATACGAACAGCCAGATGAAGAGATATGTAGGGCGGGGTCCCTAAGAGCAGGAGCTTCTGTTCCCATGGAGTTTGGGGACTAGCAGGTTCATCATTCAGGTTCACCATCCCGTAAGTTCTCCAAACACTTGGGTTTTTATGGAGACTCCATTACATAGGCATGATTGATTAAATCACTGGCTATTGGGGATTCAACCTCCAACACTCCCCCCCCCCCCCCCCACCATCAGGGGCTGTGACTGAAAATTCTAACCTTCCAATCAAGGTTGGTTCCCCCGGCAGGCAGCCGCCAGCCCATCATCCTCAGGGTATTTCCAAAGGTCACCTCATTAACTCGTCATTGGAAGGGGCTCCTTATGAATAACAAGACACCTATTTCACCTTTATGGCTCTGAGGCAATTTCAGGAACTGAGGATGAAAGACCAAATATTATAACAAAAGATGCGCCCGTTGCTCTTATTACAAGGGTTTTCTTAGGAAATTTCTAGAGCTGTGAGCCAGGAAGCTTGAAGACTGAAATATATTTATCATAAATCACAGTAGCACAGTTGGGTGAAGACGGGTGTCCTGCCTTCTTGTACACCTCCCTCACCCTAAAGTTCGTTTCCTCCTAGACTAAGATTCAGAGGTGTTAGTGAGACATGAATATCTTTTAGCCTCCATTTTAAAGATAACTCAGTTGAGGTATGAAAATCATAATGCTTCTAATATCGCAGCAGCCTATTGTAGCCTACTGTAGAGAGCAAGATGGCATCACTCCTGTCGAGCAGGGGCCTGTGTCAAGCAGTGACACAAGCACCTAGGGCATTTCAGCTGAGACCAGATATCGCCAGGACCAGCGCGGGCTGATGACACACTGAGAACCCATAACCCGCAGAAACAGGAGGTCTGCAGGGGCCCAAGACTGACTAAATGCCTTTAACGAAGTAGGATTTTTGCAGCAAACTGTTAGACTCTGCAAGCACTGACCCCTTTATGTCTGACCACTTAAAAAAAGGTAGCTGCTGCAGAAGGCTCTGCCTGATTGATCTCTGCAAAGAACAGTGATCCTTCACCACTTCAACATAGTAAGCAGTAAGTGCTGAGAGCCAACTTACACGGGGCCAAGGACTTAATGCGCTGACTTCACGTTTGGTTTGTTAACCTCCTGCCCCCTGTTCTATCTTGTTTGTTGTAGGACTTGTCCTGTGCATTGCTTTGTGTGTCTTATAAGAAGCCCCGTTAATCACATGGTGAAATGTCATTGGGTTTGGAATCCTGAACCTGCTTTATAATTAGGTTAACTTTGCCTTATCATTGAATAAAGTATACTCCTGTGTGCGCCTTCAGAGCGTGCTAATGACGCTATCCAAGCGGATCAAAACATAAACCGGTAAATGCCTCAAGGTTAAATAGAAACCTAAGGACAACCAATCACAAAGAGCCAACTAGCCTTTTCCAAAGAAAGCTTATAATGCTTAAGCTCTCACCATTCAAATTATTTGTTTTGCTTTCACATCTCTATTAAGAGACTTTCTCCTCGCTGTTTTTAGGTGGAGCCCTTTTTGCCACTTTGTTTGATGCTGCATAGTTCAAATTGATTTTCCCTCAAATAAGCCTTCAAAAGGTAAACTAAGGCATATTAAAAAATTTAACAGTTCTTTGACTCTCAATTTGCTATTGGATCAGGAGATTCACAACTAAAGGTGTAGACATTATTTTGTAGAAACCTGATAGCAACGTAAATAATTCTTGTGAGCTAGCAGTGCAAATGATTTCCGTAGGATTGAAAGATAATCCCAAAGGTTACTTATTACCTTGTAGGACACTTAAAGAAAAATAAGTGGTTAAAGATTTTGAAAGAGAATACGATTTGGGGGAGGGGCAGAGGGTCAAGCCCCCTCCCCCCCTGAGCTCTACTCCAGTACCTGGGGATATGACGGAGCCTCGAGTCAAAGTCAGAGGCCCAACCAACTAAGCCACCCAGGCACCCCGGACATTAACCAGCTTTATACTTACCTTGAAATGTTATCCTGACTATTTTTTAAAAATGCCATTTCTGACAGATATATAAACCTTTGTTCCTTAAAATGTTTTTTAGAGCAACACCTCACTGGTTCCCTTACTAATGTGTTGATAAGTCTTTGACAAGTGCTCGTGGTGCATTTATATTAAGAGCCATGATTTTAAATCCCTGAAAAGTGTATTTTACTCCACCACTGGATCCATAGTGGATCGATTAGAATCTTTGAAAGACATTTTAAACCAAAGCAATATAATAAAAGATATCTTTTCCCTTTGGTTGCTAAGCTGACAAAAGGCAAGTTCAAATCTGCCTGTGACATAATTCTGTCACATTTACTGGATATCATGGCCTCAAAATATCTAAAGCAAAACTTTAAAGTGCAGGAAAAAAACAGAAAATTCTATCATGTTAGAAGATTTAAAGCAAATATTCTCAATAATTAATAGCAAAAATTAGTGTAGGAAGATTTGAACTGCATAATTAAAAAGCTTGATTTAATGGGTGTGCATGTGTATATGTGTGCAGGCACTCAGTTATGGGAGAGTATACATTCTTTTCAAGCACACACAGAAAACTGATTAGACAGTAGGCCACAAAGTCTGTTTTAACTAATTTCAAAAAAATATTTTCCAACAGAACATGTTATAACTCAGGTTAAAAATAACAAAGATAACTTTAAAAGCCCTTAAGTCTGGAAATTACACATACTTCTATTTGGCATATGGGTCACAGAAAAAAAAAATCCCAGTGTAAGAAAACATTTGGACATGAATGCTACTGAAAATACTCCATATTCAAGCATGGGAAATCAGCTAAGATACAAATTAAGGGAAATTTATACCTTAATGCGTGTAATAAAAAGGCTAGAAATCAGTAAGAATCTAACTTAAGAAGTTAGCATACTGACAGAACAAATTCAGATGTAACAGAAATAAGAATTTACAAAATAAATTTATTTAAAAGAAAATGTCAAGAATCAAAAGAAAAAAAAGATCCAACAAAGCTAAGGTTTATTTTGATCACCCTATTTGGTTCTTTGACTATCCTTTTTGACTCCTTAACTACACTACTTAAAATTGCAAACCCTTCCTTCTCCAGGGCCGGATTTAGGATGAGGGGAGTAACTTGGGTCATGCACAACTTTAAGGACATATGGAAAGACTCTAATCAAGATGAACATTTTAGTGGAATATTTTGTAAGTCAAAATTAATGCAAAATATCCATGATAACCGAATACAAAAAATGTAAAGACAGTGTCTGACCCTGCACTTGCACAAGGTCGGCCCCAGCCCTCACCCGCCTCCTGTAAGTACTTCACTGGCCCCAGCCCTCACCCGCCTCCTGTAAGTACTTCACTCCCCTCATCCTAATCCTGGCCCATGGATTATAGGATAGCAGTGACACCAGGTGTGTTTCCAAAATTTCAATGCCTGTGCTTCTAGTATCCTGTTATAGTGCAAGGTAAAAATTCCTTATCATGTTTTGAAGTAAGTACCTGACCAAAAAACAAGACTGAATTTTATTTAATGCCTCATCAACATATACTGAAGTGATTATTTGGTCTTTCTTCATCAGTCGATTGATATCATAAATTATAACATTCCTCCTAATATTTGTCTTCTCATCCTTCTGTTCTAAGTTATAATATATTCATGGTATTTATTTTTTAAGATTTTATATTTAAGTTATCTCTACACCCAACGTGGGACTCAAACTCACCACCCTGAGATCAAGAGTCACATGCTCTATCAACTGAGCCAGCCAGACACCCCTAATTCATGGTATATTTAAATTGAATTTTGGAATTTTCAAATATTTATATTTAGTCTTTGCATATATATATTCATAAATAACACCCGACTGAATTTCCTTATAGTGCTATCTTTTTGAGGCTCTACTATCAAAGTTTTATAGCTTTATAAAAGAAAATGGTAAAGTTACCTTCCTAAATGATGCTCTGAAATGATTTAATAGTCTTTCACAGAAAATGTTACTGTGTCAGCTTTCTGTCAAATGGAGGAACATGTCTTTAGCTCTAATCCCAATAATCCTATATCTACTTATATTTTCACAACATGCTACAGAAAATGTTCACTGAGGAAGTGGACTCCCATTTCAATTGAGACCAGCAATTCTCAAATAGTAACATATCTAAAAGTTGCCTGGGAAATAATTTAAAATACCTGTTCCTAGGACCTTCATCCAGATATTCTGATTCAGTAAGTCTGATATGGGGCTCAAGAATCTGCATTCTAAGAAACATCCAAGTGATTTAGACCCAGTGGTCCCAGGAACACAAACAGAAGTATTCAGTCAAACATGCTGGAGCTGGTGAGGCTGTGAAGTTAGCCATCCGTGCAAGGGAGAGAAAGGAAACCAGATGCTCTAACATAATCTGCCCTGGCCTGGTCCTCCAGTCTCATTTCCAGGCTTCTCAAATCTGAATTCTTAAGCTCTGCATCCAGTTAAACACATGTTATACCTTTCACAGAGCTTTATGTTTTTCATTTTATTTTAGTCCCTCAACCACCATGTGAAGTAGAACAGACATTTTACAGAGAAGTGACTCCCCTACATCTAACAGACATCAAACACTGTCTGGGCACAAAGCTTCTAAAGCTAAGACCCACAAGCCTTGTCACTCTGAGGCCTTTATTTCACTTTTTAAAAGAACACCAGGTTCTTCAAATCAGGGATACCGCCACCAGGAACCATCTTCATCTTTGTGATTATAATCATGCTTAATGATAAGGTGTGGATTGCTAACTCGCACAGCTTCCAGCAGCTTCTGGACTTCGTCATCAAACGCCTCTTTGCACACCCTGAGAAAACAAGGGAACACCTCTTCTTGTACTCAGCTTTCCCACAGTCCTGTAATTTCTCTGAAGAATTTGTTTCTCAGAGAAAGACTGTTGAAGTAGAGACAAATGAACACGGGAAATGGGGCAAGGAAAGTGTGAGGGATACACTGAGGGAACGCAGCAGGGGAAGGAAAATGGACTATAGAGTAGAAATAGAAATAGATTAAAATTTAAGAGGATCCTCCAAGAGCCTTTTTCTACTCAAGCAAAATAGTACTACTCATGATGACAGTAGTTAACACTAACACTGTTAGGTGTTATATGCACGGTTCTAAATACAGGTACCGTACCTCTGCTTTTCCAAAGGTCATGGCTACACCACTTCACCTTTATGAGAGAACTACATTAGCACCTGTTTTTGATAACTGAAGCAAGTCCAAAGATTTTTGCGTTTTAACACACACAGGTAAAAAGCAAAAATAGCATTTGGCATTTGGGTTGCAGCAAGCCGTTACGGAGGCAGCAGGAACCCAAGCAGCAAGAGCGGCCCAAGCTCCTTCCCCAGGACCTACAGTGCACCTCAGCACCAGGCCGCCACAGCTTTGAACTGTGTCTGTGGCTATCTGTGCTATCAATTTATTTTGTGCATAGGTCCTAAGGTATCAGGAAAGCCTACAAGAGGTTATTTTTTGCGTCCAGGAATGCTCAAAAAGTTTTCCATTTAGATTAATGGTAATTGCTTCTCTGATTTACCCCATTTTGGCTTACGAAAGGTTTCACAGGAACTCTCTACCTTCAGACAGGAGGAGGACACCTGTACTGCCTTACTGACTCAGCTGATCAATCCTCACAATAAACCATTGGAGATATTATCATTTCACCCATTTATAGATAAGGAAACCAAAACACAGAGATTGGAGACTAGTGTAAGGTCAAATATCTAGTAAGTTCCAGCTAGATTTCAAACTCGGGTAGTCTGGCTTTAGAGTTCTCAGCTGTTACCACTTTGCTACAGTAGGTCTCTCAAAATTCAGTGTGCTATGGGAGAAAAACAAATAAGGGCCTCAAAAACATGCAGGGATCCACAATCAGGTTGATCCTTAGGCCTGCAGTAAACAAGTGGCTTCCCAAATCCCTTGTTACAGAAACTTTTGCCCTGAGAAGCCAATGAAGACTTAACCTAGAACTTTCAGTTTACATTCAGGAGACCTCAGGACTTCACATAACTTCATCATTCCTTCATTTCCTAAAGTATTCTGTCTCAGGTTTATTTTTATCAGGTTTTGGTTGTTTCTAAGAGTAGAGGAGAGATCCTGACAACACAGGGAGATCAAACCACAATATTCCAACCTGAAGGGAAGAGAGACTAAAGATAAAATTAATTTTACCCCAAAGAGCAAGCACGTAAGAGATCTGTGAGCTGGGAGTGTAGGATGAGTCCAGAAGCTTAAAAAAAAAAAAAATGGGGGGAGCACAATTAGGGTAAATTCAAAGAATGTAAGTACTTATAATATTCATTATTACTAGATATTCATAGACCGAATATATTCCTTCCTAAATCATGAATTGCAAGTTCATAATTATAGTCCAAGGAATAAATAGGAAAGCATACTAAGAAAAGCTGAAGCAGTTGAATCTTTGATCATCATTAAAAATATAGTACATAAGTAGACTTTTGAAATATGATACTGAGTATTTCAAAAGCAAGGTATATAGTGAGGTCTCTTAGCACGACACCATTTATGCAAATAAAAACGCATATGCCAAAAAACATTATATCTTTTACAAGGATACAGTATTTCAAACACACTAGGCCAGATGCCTATACAAGGGAAGGAGAACAGTTAAAAGGAGATAAATTAACCAACTAACCAACCAATAATCATTAGAGGACCCTTGCATAAACCAATGATAATATAATAATACCATGAACTGAGGAATTATGTTAAACTCAACCTTCTAAGCCTGATGATGTCCCCAACCCACTAATTTTAATTTAATTTGCACCTTAGGTGTACCAAGCCATTCAACAATTGAGTGCCTGTATAGGTGCTGAGTATAAAAAAAAAAATTAAGTTACTGCCTACATGGAACTGGCATTAATGTGGTAGAGCAACTCCCACTATTTATAACACAAGATAAATATCACACAAAATAAACCATAGGGTAAAAAGCACTATGAGACATAAAAGGTTTCAAGAATTCATCAGGAAACAATCATTCTAAGTTTGCAGTCACTAAAAATGGTCTCAAGAAAACTAAAACTAACAGAACGACAAAGTGAAAGACACAACTCTACAATTATAATGGAGATTTTAACATAGTTTTCATAGCAATTGATTGAATCTGGGAAAAAAATCACTAAAAGTATAGATGATTTGAATAACAGAATTAACAGTCTTAATTAACTCATATACAATATGGCAACCAACAACTCTTCATTTTAAGTGCATTATGGTACATGTATAAAAACGGACTACATACTGGGTCATGAAGCAAATAACAGATTTCAAAGAACTGTAATCATGTACAGTATGTTCTCAGGCCACAGTGCTAGAGATTAAATATAAAAAGATGACAAGAAACCCCTCTTATGTCTGCAAATTGAGAAATACACTTTAAAATAACCAATGGATTGAAGAAAAAAAATCATAAGGGGAGTTAAATATTTTAGCCTCAAAAATAAATGCTACATATAGTATCAATTATAGCATGGAGTTAATGCAATAATTTGAATGAAAAGTCACACCCTTAAGTGTTGGAAAAGGAGGAAATATTTATGAGCTAAGCATCCAGCTCAAGAACTTAAGAACAGTAAAACAAGGACGCCTGGGTGGCTCGGTCAGTTAATCCTCTGCCTTTGGCTCGGGTCATGACCCTGGGGTCCTGGGATCAAGTCCCGCATCAGGCCCCTCGCTCAGCGGGGAGTCTGCTTCTCCCTCTGCCTGCTGCTCCCCCTGCTTGTGCTCTCTTTCTGTCAAATAAATTAAATCTTTAAAAAAAAAAAATACCCATTTCCAAATAGTATTGCAATATAGCAAGTACTTAGAAATAAAGTTAAACAGCAAAATAGAGGGCCACTACAGGAAAAATTACTAAGCTTTATTGATAGAGCTAAGTAAACAAGGATCTATCATAATTGATAGATTCAATGCAATTCCAATCAAAGTGCCAGCATATGGGTAGGTACGAGTACATGGGGAGGTTCATGTGCAGTCTGTGTAACTTAATAAGCCGATATTTAAAATTTTGTTTGGAAATGCAAAGGGAGAACCCAGCAACAGACCCATGCACCAATGAAGACTTGATTTATAACAAAGGTGGCCCTGCCAAACAGTGAGGAAAGAAAGAGTCAATAAATTTTGCCAGAAAAGATGAGTATCCACATAGGAAAAATATTAAATTGGACTGACCTCCAACCATATTTTAAAGTCTCAAATGCTTCATAAGTTGCCTTTTACATTTAGAAAATAGTGGAATGTCTTTGTAATCCCAGTGTCAGGAAAAATGTCCTCAACAATTACAAAAAGCGCTAACAATAAAAGAATAATCTGACGTTACAATTAAGTTCTTCAGTTCCATAAAAGGCACCATAAAGAGTGGAAAGAAAAGCCCAAGTTATTGTCACATATATGAGTGACAAGGGTTTATAACCAGAATATATTGGAGGAAAAAAAAAAACCCTACAAATCAGTAAGGGCAAAAATGGCTCACTGAATGGAAAAATGAATAAGTAAAAAAGGAACTTGACAAAAGAGGAAATCCAAATGGCTATTAAGCATCTGAAAAGGTGTTGAACCTCTTTAACCAGACACATATAAATTAAAACCACAATGAGATGCCAAAACACACCTGATTCACTAAAACTTTAAAAATAAAGTCAGACAAAATGGCAAGAATAGAGAACAGGAACTATAATACATTACCAGGGGCAGAATAAATTTGTACCATCTTTTTGACAATATCTGATCAATTTAAAGACCTTTTCCCCATGATGTAACGAATCCACCCCTATTTACCCTAGATAAATATATACGTATGTGCCTCAGAATTCATTACTGAAATATTCATCAGCAGCACTGGTCATAAAATAAATGAAAACAACACTAAAGTCCACCTATAATAGAATGGTTACATAGTTTGTAGTATGGTCATTCACTGGAATACTTAACTGTGATAAAAATTAACTACAACTACATGAAACAACTGGATGACAAACTCATAACAATGAGCAAAAAAAAATCATAACACAAAAGAATATAGAGTAGGATTCCCTGTATATAAAATGCAAAACCTGGCAAAATTCAACAATATACTGCTTAGGACTATATACACTCACAGTCACTGTACAGATAAATAATGGCCACAAAAATCAGGATAATGGTTACTTCTTAGGGAGGAGGGAAGAAGCAATTTATAAGGGAGGAGTAAGGGAATTTAGTTTCCTGGGCAAATTCAATTTACTGACCTGGATGAGGTTATGCATTTTTTTAAAAGTTTTATTTGCTTGTTTGTATGTATTTTATATTTCATAGTGAAAATGTTTAAAATATGAACTTGGCAGATCTTTTTTTTTTTTTCTGTATATAAACATTCTTTCTTTAAGTTCTTATTTAAATTTCAGTTAACATACAGCATAATATTTGTTTCAGGTGTAGAATTTAGTGATTCATCACCTACATACAACACCTAGTGCTCGTCACAACAAGTGCCCTCCTAATATCCGTCACCCATCTGGCCCATCCCCCACCCACTTCCCTCCATCAACCCTCGGTTTGTTCTCTATCATTAAGAGTTGTTTTACGTTTGCCCCTCTCTCTCTTTTTTAATCTCACAATCCAGCAATTGCACTACTAGGTATTTACTCAAAGGACAGCAAAACACTGATTCAAAGGGATACATGCACCCCGGGGTTTATGGCAGCATTATCAACAATAGTGAAATTATGGAAAGAGCCCAAGTGTCCATCGACTGATGAATGGATAATGAAGATGTGGTGTGTATATGTGTGTGTCTCACACACACACACCAGAATATTGTTCAGCCATCAAAATGAAGTCTTGCCATTTGCAACAATGAATGGAGCTAGAGAGTATTATGCTAAGGGAAATAAATCAAAGACAGATGAATACTGTAGGATTTCACTCGTGGAATTTCAGAAACAAACAGATGAACATAGCCAGATCTTTAGGGGTGATTGGAGAAAAAGCCAAGTTAAAGGCAATGGGATGGGACACGCTCATTTCACGACTGTGGGAGGGGCAGTGACACCAATACCTGGGGAAGGAACAGCTCAGAACCTGGAAGGTGCAGGGAGTAGGAAGGACAATTAATGACTCCTCTTCCTTCCCTAGACCCAACACTGCTGCCTGGCAAAATTAGTGGTCTGCTTCAGTACAGCTGCAGCTGGCAATCTGACCCGCTGCCGAGTTTGTCCACATGCCGTGAAAATGCAAAATCTCAAGTGGGCGTGGCAGGTCCTAACTATTCGGCTGTGCCTGATGTCATCAGTGGCAGCCCCCAAACCTGGACCCTTGTCACATGTGTACAAACACAGCCGGTACAACCTCGTCTCAGTCTGACTGATACCAACTCATAAGCTTCTCCTGACGCCAGTACAGCTCTGAGTTATGCCACGTATGGCTAACAAGGCAGCTGTAACTATTTAGCGACACTGCCTACCCACCTGACATGACCAAACCACTGTAATGGTAACCCAAGTCAGTAGAACAACACATTCCACATTGGAGTGAGCTGTCTGTTATATGTGGAGGTATGGACCCCTGAATTCTCTTTATTGGGGATGGGACTGGTTTGGCCCAATTTTTTGCTCCCCCCCTTTTTTTTTCCCTAAAGATTTTATTTATTTATTTGACAGAGAGAGACACAGCGAGAGCAGGAACACAAGCAAGGGGAGAGGGAGAGGGAGAAGCAGGCTTTCCGTAGAGCAGGGAGCCCAATGCAGGGGCTCGATCCCAGGACCTTGGGATCATGACCTGAGCCGAAGGCAGATGCTTAACGACTGAGCCACCCGGGCGCCCCTTTTGCTCCCTTTATTACCATACCATTATTACGATACCAAGATCAGCAGGTCAACCCAAACCCCCTTTCATGAGTTGTAATCGATAACAAAACCTATTTGTCCTCTCTGGGTCTCACTCAGTTGGCTGAATCTAGGATGCTGAGGGCACAGCTGAAATCAACACTGCAATTTGACCTCATCCTGTGCTTGGAGTCCTAATGATGGTGGCCCTAATTAAACTGTGTAGGAGACAAATTGAACAGATTTGGCCCCGGCTTCTGTTGGTCAGATTAATGAGAGTGGCCAGTGGAATGGCATATCCATGTGAAAATTAACCACGACTGTACTGTGCAGAGAAAAGGGATGAATATTACGAGGAGTATTTTGCTCTCCTACATATTTCATTGACAAAAATGCAAGACCCTGACAACTCTTCACTTGGGCCATTTCCTAGGGTGTGTGTTCAGTAAGCAGCCTCGAGGGATGAGGTAATGTCTCCCTCCAGGACAAAGAGCAGGCTTGCTTAGTGCCTGCTATAAAATGGTGGGTCTCTCAAGCTCCATGTTTCTCTCCTAGGATGTAACCCACTACCATGTGCAGGTGTCCATCTGAGCTGTCCACATCCACCCTGTGGGACTTGGGGGACAAAGGAAATGGACACAGAAACAGTAGTGCTTATGCTGCAATGCTAGGAGTAATAAAGTCCTCGGTCTCTGATGGGATTCTCTGTTTCCTGCCAGTATCCAGGAAATATTGATAGGCTAACTTACTAGGTTATAATGCAGGATAAAATTAAATTCCAGACCCAATAGTTACAGTATCATCATTGTGATAAAAATATATAAACAGTCAATGGATACATAGGTAAAGCAGCACTTTCTTGTAAGAGTCAGGGAGACATCTAATATTTGGGTTTCCCACATATGGAGCAAAATTCTTGACCCAGAAGTCAGTAATTCATGCTGTATAAGTAAAAATGTACTAGCCAATATCCGTTCAAGATTTAAAAAAAAAAAAACCTAAACAATATATGATTGAACATAAAAAGTACTCAAAACATAGGATAAGGTTTTATTAGACCACAGGCTCCTTAAGAGCATAAATAGCAGGGCGCCTATATGACTCAGTGGGTTAACTATCCAACTCTTGGTTTCAGCTCAGGTCATGATCTCAGGGTCATGAGCTCAAGCCCTGCATCAGGCTCAACGCATGGAGTCGGCTTGGGATTCTCTCCCTCTTCTCTCTCTCTCTCTCTCGCTCATGCTCTCTCTCTCTCGCTCTGCCTCTTCCCCACCCCCTGCTCATTCTCTCCCTCTAAGATAAATAAAATCTTAAAAAATAAAAAAAGGATAGATAGCATTTTTCCAGATAAGATTTTGCCAGTCGTTTTGTTTTTGCGAAAGAGCGCATGTGCGAGAGATCTAGCACAAGCTGGGGTGGGGGAGGAGGGGCAGAGGGAGAGAGTGAGAGAGAGAATCTTAAGCAGGCTCCACACCCAGTGTGGAGCCTTACTTGGAGCTCAATCTCATGACCCTGATATCATGACCTGAGCTGAAATCAAGAGTCTGGCACTTAACCAACGGAGCCACCTAGGTGCCCCAAGATCTTCACTTTAATTAGAAAAATTCAAAGATAGAATATCTGAAGAATGATAGAACATGGAAGACCTTAAAGCAAGTACCATTTACTTAATACTTACTCTGTCCAAGGCACTAAGGAGGACACAAAGAAATGTGAAATATGGCTTCAATACTAACATCACATAATACACATTGATCCATATATTTGAAATTCAGATTCTGATTTCTAAGACTAACTTACTTTCTATCCCATTTATCATCCTCTCTCATGTACTAAATTTCTTCTAGCCACACTAGCCACCAAATAGGTATCATTTTCCTGATGGAAAACTGAACTCACCCAAGCCTCTGAATATTGCAGTTTGGATGTCTCAAAGCCTCATACAGAATTTTTCCTCTATCATCCTGCAGGTATCCAAGGTCCAGGCTCTGCAGGTGTGAGTTGTTCAGAATAGCAGAAGCCAGATCCAGACAACACGTACTAGTAAGAACGCAGCCCATCAGTCTGCAAGAAATACAAAAGAGGTGAGACCTTCAGTTGTGAAGCTTCATTAATTTATTCCTAGGAGAGAAGCTGAGGTATCTGAGCCTTTTTCCTGACCCTTTTCTCTCCACAGTCCAGGATGCACAGAGGAATGTCTAATATTACCAGCAGAAACAAATGGGATTTCTTAATGAGCAGGAAAAAAAAAAAAAACACAACAACAACAACAGTGGGTAAAGCTGCTTTCTCCCACAAATAGGTTATTGTCCACCAAGCTTCCCAAATCAAGGGTATAAACACTTTTTTCTGGGAGAAAAAAACTCCCAGAAAACTAAAAAAAATTCTCCCTCAAAACTAAAAAAAAAAAAAAAAAAGGATAGAAGTTTACCCAAGGAACCCACAGATCTCTGTGCTTTCCGTTTCTAATATATTTTTGAAATAAAAAAACTTTCCAGGAATCTATCCTAAAGTGCTGCTTTCCAAGAAGCAGCAGACTACATATATGAAGATATTTCCTTCAATCCTCTGTAGGGCATTCAAGAGCATTCACAATCTGCCCTCAAGTGTTCGCTCTCCATATTTCATCCCCATCCTATTCATCAAGCATACCCATCTATTCTTTTTTTCCAAATCTACCACATCTATCTTCATGTCCCTTCTCTCTTCCTACCTTCTGCCAGTGATCTCTGCACCCAACAAAATCCTCTTCATCTTTCAAGGCTAAGGTAACTCAGTCCCCTCTGTCCCACTCTTTGCTCCTTGGGACTTCTATCTTATAATAATACATGCACTATGTTTTAATTGGCTTTGCATTTATTTCCCTGCCATCAGCATTTGATGAGTTACTGAAGGGCAAGTGCATCACCTTAGTAATAATCTTTAATGCCCCCAGAATGTAGCTTATATTTGTTGTAAATTTTAGTTGAGAGAATTGGCATGGCCTGCATACAGGCTATGAAAGTAGCTAAGAGCACAGATTTGTCTATGTGTTTACAGCAATGGTAAGGAGATAAAGTGAACTAAGCAAACATCTTGTGTGTATAGGTCACTTAGAAATTGTGGTTAAAATAAAGGTACTGGATTTAATGATAATTTCCATGAAGTAAAATTTTGTCTTCCGGTTGAATAATAATCAAGGAAACTTCAGAGAATCACATTGTATATGTTTTCCTAAAGAAAGTACAGGTACTTATTGGACCCAAGGGTTCAATCACCTTGGTGTTCACCAATGTAACAATCAACTATTAGGGGCGCCTGGGTGGCTCAGTCATGATCCCGGGGTCCTGGGATTGAGCCCCGCATCAGGCTCCCTGCTCAGCGGGAGGCCTGCTTCTCCCTCACCCCTGCTTGTGTTCCCCCTCTCACTGTGTCTGTCTCTGTCAAATAAATAAAAAAACTTGAAAAACAAAACAAAACTATAAACTCTTGTTTATAAATTTGGTTATCCTGAGTCAGTCCAGTCAAGGAAAACACCTCTGGATATACTAACCATCTAGAGTTTATAGTTCTAAAACAAAACAAAACAAAACAAAACAAAACAGTGCTGGAGATTAGACCCTTAGTGACTCACCCAGGTGACTAGTCCCATGGGAGGCCCTGGTGGGAAAGTGAGCTGAGATCACTAAGTGACAACTCTATGTTGCTTCACTCTAGCCACAGTATTCACATAATGAAATATTAAATACTCAATATAGTGCATCCATTTTTCAATAGGATATTGAATATATATTCAATAAGATATTGAATATATACTGAATATATTTGATATCCAATAAGAGAACTGTATGTAAGTATGTAAATGATTCTAAAATACTATCCTATGTAAAGGAACCCCAAAGTCCTATCTATACAGTAATCACAATTACATATACACGTACCATACATGTGTGTATACCCACCCACAGAATAAGGGAGAACATAATAAGAATAAAAGCAGTTGTTTAATGATGACTGACTTGTTGGTATTTTTAAAAAATTCTCTTCCTAGTGGGTGCCTGGGTGGCTTAGTCCATTAAACATTCAACTCTTGATTTCTGCTCAGGTCACAATCTCAGGGTCATGAGATAGAGCCCCACGTATGGCTTCTTGCAGGGCATGGAGTCTGCTTGAGATTCTCAGCCTCTGTCCCGGCCACCCCACTCGTGCATGCATACTCCAGAAGAAAAAAAATTCCCTTCCTAGTTTCTTTAGAAGCTGACCTAGTTATAAACCTGAACTGAAGAAAGAACAACTAATAGAGCACAATTTCTGCCTCATGGATGTAAGGCAGCAGAGGACACACACTAGACTCATTGGGGGTACAACCAAAAAAATACATAAAATGGCTGCTATTCAGTCTGTTGTCTCTGGTTCTCCTTCCCTGAGGGAGGTTGAATTACTGTAGTAACTGTTTAAGAAAAATCTGATGAACGTACTTCCCCAGCTTGTCTCAGGCAAGGGGAGAGAGAGGGAATCAGCTGTTTATTCTTTTTTCTGACACTTAGCTCATCCCTTCTTTGCTCATCTCCCCTGCCCTCACAGTAGTGAAAGCATCCAAAGGAAAGTCACAGAAAACCTACTCCAGGTCCTGAATGAAGGTGACAGCTTGGATGCGGAAAGGCATCACACAGAAGCTTTACTCCATCATCTTGCAGCCAGTTTGACCCCAGATCTAGATGTGTCAGGCTCTTGTTGCGCAGGAGAGCAGATGAGAGATGTTCACTGCTAAGCGAAGTGGCAACGCCTCAGCCTATAGGAAGGACAGTGTGAGCAAAGATGGAATCACTGCTTTACTGCCCAGAGGTTTTTATCTTTGAGATTTCATGCTCTTGTCCCTTACATCTGTTTGCCAACACTCATCTCATCAAATACCCTCTTCCCTTACTACCTCTTTGCCAGTCTCACTTGGGATACTTAGGTTTGCACAAAATTGCACATACTGGATCCATGTTCTTCAGAATGTTTGTTACTATAAATGAAATGTTAACCTCTTTACACTGTGCATAAATACAGTGCCCTATTGCAGAAGTAGCTACATAGACCAGAAGAGCAGGCATATGGAACAGAATGAGAGTAATCACAATAAAGTACTTTTTATACATACAATCAGTAGGGAAAAGATCTATTATACCATAAATAATTTGGGAAGGCAGACCTGACATATGGGGGAGGTTTAAGCCTTATAACAAATTAGGGATAATTTAACATTTCAAAAATTAAACCATAAAGTGTATGACAGTTTTTTTTTTTTAAAGAAAGATATTTTCAATTACGACAAAACTTTGAGAAGTTATGAGGAGGAAGATAATTTGACTTCACAAAAATTTTAAACTTCTGTACTCTAAAAATGATCATAAGAAAGTTAGGAATACAGCAATATGCTAGGTAAATTTTTTGCAATATATAAAAAATAATGGTTATAATGTATATTTACTATTAATAACCATAGTATATAATATACATAACAGAAAACATCCAGAGGAAAATTGAGCCTATGAAGAGGCAATTCCTAGAATACTAAAGGCCAAAAACATTTGAAAAGATGCTCAAAATCAAATTATTTTTAGTTATTTTCAATTATCTAAATAATACTGATTAAAAAAATAGTAGATACCCAGTGAAGATGTTAAAATACAGGCCACTAGACTGCCGAGGAAATATGAACAATCTGGAGAAAATTTAACCACATCTGATAAAAATTTTGGTATCAATTCCATGTCTAAAATTGTCTAAGAGCAATGAAGAAAATAATCACACTGATCCAGCCATACCATGGGATGCTACAGTTCTGTTTAATGGTGTTCATATGTATTTACCTGTTCTAAGCCCAGAATATGGATCTGGACAGGCAGACTTTAGTCCTGAATCCATTATCTTCTTATGAGCATTAGGCAAGCAACATAATCTTTTAAGCCTCACATTTCCTACCTGTCCAATGAGGCACTTAGAACTCAGGTGGCCAGTTTGACACCAACAGGTACTTTTGTACAGATTAAATCAATTTAGCATAGGGCCCAGCACAGAGTAAGGACAGAATAAATGGCAGTTATTAATACCATCATCCTTGTCATTTTCATTATCATTATGGATAACAGAAGGGAAAAAGCAAGGGACAGAATATGTGTGTAACATTCTCCCTTTTAAAATACATTTCAGCTTTTTTCTCCTTTTCGCTGTCATCCTGGTGTGTGGTTGACCGTTCCTCGCCATGTCTTCTCACAAGACTTTCAGAATCAAGAGATTCCTGGCCAAGAAACAAAAGCAGAATCGTCCCATTCCCCAGTGGATTCAGATGAAAACCGGTAATAAAATTAGGTACAACTCCAAGAGGCGTCACTGGAGAAGAACCAAGCTGGGCCTATAAGGCATCGCACTTCATGAGATGGCACACGTGTTTAAGCTTCATGAAGATCACATGTTCCTATCTTTTTTTTCCCCACGTGTTCCTATTCTATCACTCTATAAACATCCCTCCTACCTGGCCAATACACATGTTTTATCAGGGAAATGATTTTTCTCTGTTACTATGCCTCTACCCCAGTAAGTTGGTTCAGTAATAAATGTGAGACCTTTCAGTTGAACTGCTGTTGTGTTCTGATTTGTAAAGTACTGAAATCCCCCTCCTGTCAGATCTCAGATAGCACTGTCCCATAGAACTTTCTGCAGTGATAGAAATGTCCTTCCACAACCAAGTATTTAAAGTGTGGCTAGGGGGTGCCTGGGTGGCTCAGTGAGTTAAGTGCCTGCCTTTCACTCAGGTCATGATCTCCCGGTCCTGGGATGGAACCCTGAATCAGGCTCCCCGGATCAGTGGGGAGTCTGCTTGTCCCTCTCCTTCTGCCCCTCCCCCTGCTCGTGCTCGCTCTCAAATAAATAAAATCTTTAAAAAAAATAAGATATATTTAAAAATGTAATATACATCAGAAGGATGAAAACTAGTAGACTCCTACATGAGGCTCTGGAGATTGCACTGTGGATTTTTCAAAGTATCACTCACAAGCTTTACTCCATCATCTCCCAGGATGTTGTCTGCCAAGCACAAATGTGTCAACCTTTTGTTGCTGATGAGGGCCAAAGAAAGAGCCTCACAACCAGCTACTGTGAGGCCACAGCTTTCTAGGCTGAAGGAGAAACAGACGGGAAGGGATCAGTCAAATCCCAAAGTTCCTGTTTCTCTTCTCCTTTGCAGGGACACTAGCTGGTACTTACAGCCCCTACACCTCTACCATAGAATCAACCTCTTCAAACCTACTGAAATTACAAATGCCACTGCAACTATGTACAGGGGAGGGGAGAAGGAGGAAAATAGTAAAAATAAGCAGTCATGAAGAAAAGCAGCATTTAAAAGTCAAATAAAAGAGGAAGCAAAGGCGGCCTTCATGTAGAGTTCATCCAGGCTTCACAAATGAGCCAAGTGGTGTCAAGGCCCAAGCAGTTTTGCCCTTTCAGCTCTTCACTAAGCCACACAAGACTGCACAGAAGGACCCCAGGAAAAACAAATCAGCAAAACTAACGATAGTCTCTCTAGGTGACACTTGGGATGTCCTAAGGCCTCACACAACAGCTTGATCCCATAATCCAATAGGTGATTGGTCGACAAATTCAGAAATCTCAGGCTCTGGCTTCTGACGAGAGCCTTAGAGATATTTAGACAGCAAACTGTAGTTAGGTCGCAGGATTCCAAGCTGGAAAACAGCACAGAAGAAGAGATGACCCTCCTCAGAGAAGAGCTATGAGCACCATTCACCCAGCCAAATGGTGTTGCCTCCCAGGCATTGTGACCCATTCTGAAGACCAGCTTCCATACTTGGAGTGAGTTCTTTAATTAGCACAAGGCTCTGATAGAGCATCAGGAAGGGAGGGGTAGGAGGCCTGTCTCTTCCATCCCCACCTCCCCAATTCCCTATGAAAATACATATGAACACACCAAAAGTATTTTTTAAAGATTTATTATTTGAGAGAGAGCAAGAGTGTGCACATGGGACGGGGGAGAGAGAAAATCCTTAAGCAGACTCCCCACTGAGGGGCTTGATCCCATGACCCTGAGATCATGACGTGAGCTGAAATCAAGAGTCAGACGCTTAACTGACAGAGCCACCCAGGGGCCCCCCTAAAAATATTTTTAAATGATACTCTTATTTTAAGCTAGGAGGACTTTCCTCCAACTACAACATGGAAGGTGCACTGAAGGATGCTATGTCCTTACACTCTGACTTCTGAAACAAATGGGCAGGAAGTCAGGAGCAAAAGCTGTGATTCCCACAGTAAGAGCTCACCTATTCATGGGAGTCAGGAGTCAAGTCATGTTTTCTGAGGAACCCAGTCCTTAAGAGTAAAAACAAGAAGAGGATCAGAAATAATATACTTTCTAAAAATAAAGAAGGGAAGCAGAAGAAGGAAGAAGTGCATGTAGGGCCCACACTCTTAGAGACTCCTATTTAGAGATAGCTTGGGCTGGGAGAAGGCTGGGCTTGATATACCAGCTTCTAATAAGAGGAGTTCCAGGAACTTGGAATTGCTCTAATTACTTCCTTGAATCAAGCACTTATCAACTCAGTCTCTCAGGAATTGGTTCTCTTCATCAAAATAAGGGTGTATATAGGTAGGAAAGAGAAGCTCCCTCCTCAGTCCAGAATTAGACCTCAATGGATGACTTAGGACACAGCCTAAGGCTGAAAACCTCAACTTGCCCTGAAAAGGTGTTACAGACTGAACTGTGTTCCCCAAAATTCGTATATTGAAGCCTGAACTCCCAATGTGACTGTATTTGGAGACAAGGCCTTTAAGGAGATAATTAAGGTTAAATGAGGTCATAAGAGGGGACTCCTGATCCAGCAGGACCGGGGTCCATATAAGGAGAGAGGCACCAGGAATCTGCACACACAAAAAAGCACGTGAAGACACCGTGAGAAGGGGCTCCCTACAAGCTTAAGAGAGAAGCCTCACCAGAAATGCACCCCACCGGCACCCTGATCTTGAACTTCCAGGCTCCAAAACTGTGAGAAATAGATTTCTGTTTAAGCCACCCAGTCAGTGGTATTTGGTTATAGCAGCCCGAATAGAGTGATACAAAGGGATATTATATCAGCAGCCAAGAAGTTAGAGAAACAAAGGAAACATTGGATTTGGACAGAGCTCTTCTAGAAGGAAAAAGATTCCAGTATTATGGGGCCTGTGGATAAAATATTAAAGCTTAACTAAGGGATAGAAAATAAGTACATTTATGAAAAAGAGAAAATGGGGAAACAGAGGAAAATGTTTAGAACGGCTTGCTTTACATTTTAAACATACATAAAAAGATGCAAATTCTCTGAAAGAAGAGCACATCCTAAGTGGAGATCTGACCGAGAAAGGGAGCAGGTTTAAGATAAAAACAGTGCAACAGATTTAAAAAAACAAGAGAAAACTGAAATCTGTATTTCAAGCAATAAAGAACAAAAATCAATGACAATTTGAGAAACACCCCAAAAAGGAAGGGGAAAAAAAGATTAAAATGACAAAGTAGGGTGCCTGGGTGGCTCAGTTGGTTAAGCATCTGCCTTAGGCTCAGATCATGATCCTGGGGTCCTGGGACTGAGCCCGGAGTCCCTGCTCAGTGGGGAGCCTGCTTCTCCCTATCCTGACCCTGCCCCCTTCTGTGCTCTCTAATGAATAAATAAAAAATCTTTAAAAAAAGAAGTTCTTCTGGGCACAACGAGGTGTTACTAGTATGCCCAAGATTTTTGTTTTTTCCCTTATTTGCTCAACTTATTTTAAAAGCTACCCTATTATCAGGCCCACATGTGGAACAGTTATCAGGACAAGGAGAATAGATCTTTCTCCCCTACCAGAGGGGAACATTTAGTAAATATTACAGTGAAATAGTCACATGAAAATTCGTGATTATATGTACCTTTCCAGTATGCTCATGTACAAGGGATAATAGGAGTCTCTCAGCAATTTAAAGTTTTCTTAAATGCTTTAAATTTGCAAAGTCCCTATGGTAACTGGGGATATTTTTGTGAGGCAGCCTGGCAAAGACCTACTAATTTGTCAATACTCTCATTGCTCACATCATCTAGAATCAGTGGGAAACTAAAATATCAAAATGCAATTCTGCAATGTTGAGCTTAGCATGATCTATGCACAAACCAGACTACTGTGGCCAGTCGACTGTCCATAGCTGTTATGGGGTCTAAAGCAAGCATAAAACTGAAACTTTTCCCAGAGTGTTAATAGGAGGTGTATAAGACTACCGATTACTTCCAGGGGTCAGCCACAATGGGAGAACGTCCAATCCTACATAATGCCATGTTCAAGAATTACAAAGCTCTGATGACTTCTGCTGCCAAAACATTGTTTACTGGTACAAGGAGCCCTAACTAATTGACCCAGATGGATGGCTTCCTATTTGAAAGCCTACTAACTGGGTCTCATCAAGGCTCATCAGTGGAAAACATTCAAATGTCAACTGATGAAAAAGATCTTACCAAGTCCTGCTGCTCTGTCAAGTGCCAAGGCATTTTGTCTTGGACCCACAGCTCCCACCGTGAGAAAACATCTTCCCCTCCATTTAACAGCTTTTTGCCACTAACATGTTAGTAGCAAGAACCAATGACCTACTTCTCACCTGGGTTCCAGACTAGAGGTGGCAGGTTACTGAAAATTCTTCACAATGTCTTAAAACTACTTCACAGACAGTAAAACCAGTACCAACCTGGTCTGCTGACAGCTGACCTCAACCCATGTTCAAGAAGCATCCAGCAACTTTCCAGACATGCTCTAAAGTGAATTTTATCCTACAAAACCTGGTGAGACTTAAAGAATCTCCAGTGGTAATATAGTTCACCTGCCTATTGTCAAAAAGGAGGTCTTGTTCCTTGTGCTTTGTATGTATAGTTTATAATTTGCTTCTGACAAATACAGACCTTGGCCTTTCATACATCGAGGTTCTGTCTTGCTCCACCCTCCACCCTCCCCCACCCCCAAGTGAATCCAGGGATTATAAAAACTTCTAAGGTAAAATTTACTGCAAGGATTTTTGTTTTGTTTTGCTTTGGTTTTATTTTGTAAGAAACTGAATTAAAAACCTTTTGGAAAATAAGATCTCCCTTGAATTCGGTCACACAGTGTGGGGACCAAGTAGGATTGCCAACCCTCTCACTTTCAGAGAAAAAGCAGACCCACCACTAGGCTCCGCAGTGTGTGAGGGCACAGGAGTACTGTGCCGGCTGCCAGGTGCCGTGCTCTTCCTCCTCGGCCTTCTGTATGGGTCACTGAGTTGCAATTATAAGGTGACAGTGATTCACTATCAAAACAAGGAAAGCTCATCTTCATTTAAAAAAAAAGGGGGGGGGCACCTGGGTGGCTCAGTCAGTTAAGCGGCTGCCTTCGGCTCAGGTCATGATCCCCGGGTCCCAGGACTGAGCCCCACATCAGGCTCCCTGCTCAGTGGAGAGGCTGCTTCTCCCTCTCTCTCTGCCTACTTGTGCTCTCTATCTCTCTGTCAAATAAATAAATAAAATCTTTAAAAAAAAAAAAAAAAAAGGGCGGGGCTGGTGCCTGGATGGCTCAATTGGTTAATGTCTGCCTTTGGCTCGGGTCGTGATTCCAGGGTCCCTGGGATCGAGTCCCTCATGGGGCTCCCTGCTCCACGGGGAGCCTGCTTCTCCCTCTGCCTCCCTCTCTGTCTGTCTCTCATGAATAAAATTAAAAAAAAAAAAAATCTTAAAAAAAAAAAAGTAAAACTGAGCCTGCTTAGCATTGCCCCCAGTTACCACTAGTGCATTATTTCCTGTAAGCATTCAAAGATACAATGAATAAACATATGGCTGCACTGAAATATGAAAATTTTTAAATCTTTATAAATTCTGGGTCTTTTTGTTAAATTTAGGAAATGGAGAGATGCAACTGTACAATGAGGTGTCCTCAGTGAAGGGATGGGAGCAGTTAAAAGTCCTATCAGGAGGAAATCACCCTGAATCTACTGATTCCTGCTATTCCATATCGTGAAAATAGATTGAAGCTGGCCCAATGAACAGCAAATCAAGGCTGTAAGATTCTATTTGGACAGACCAAAGTCTCAATTATAACAAAAATAACTCATGACTTACCTCAGATTCTGTAGTTTACAGTCTGGGTGTTTCAAAGCTTCACATAATGACTTTACTCCATTGTCCCCTCTATCACTCCCTTTCAGATCAAGATGCATCAGATTCTGGTTGTGAGTCAAAGAACTAGCAATATCCTGACAACCGCCAGGGAAAGAAAGAAATCTCATCCTTCAGAGGAAAAATATGCAGGAGGAATTACAAAATTATCTCTGTCCTGGTTACAGCATTCCCTTGCTTTTCAAATCCAGCTCTTTGATATCTAAATATTCCTGTCATTTCTTATCTTACTTTGAGTTTCTCCTATTTCACGGGTGGCTATAAATCAGTTTCAGGACGTTGCTTAGTAAAACAGTTGGGTTACAAGTTAGATGTCCATTACATCCTGACAACTGATACTCTCAACTTCTTTTGATCTTGAGGGAAAAGAAGGTAATAACATCAGGAAAAGCAGAAGGGGAGTTTTTGAACTCAATTCCAGTAAGAACTACCTCAAATAATGGGGGATATTCCAAATATTTCAATTACAGCATTAATTCACAATATTTAATCCTTAAAATAACCCAAAGTGAGTTCATAGTTACTATCAACTGTTTGAGATGCATCATTAGCAAAACATATTACTGCAAAATACACTGTCATCTCATGGACTTTGTTAGATGTACAAAGATAGCCCAAAGCTAAATATGGGAGGAAATTAAATACGCCCATCTTTCTTCCTAGTTGTTATCTGCTACTCAGGCACTGTTAGCTATATCTGATTCTTCCCTAAGTGCCTCTGCTAGCCCCCAATGCCCAGCATGTTCACAGTGCTAACTGTTCAAAACATCCCTTTGTAATATCACCTCTTCTCCCTTTTGCCCACCACCTACCCTTTACTCTCACCCTCCTTCTTGTTTCACAAGAAAACAAAGCTTTTACCTGTTACATCACTAGCCATCATCATCTGGTAAAAGTGCCTGAAGCACTCACTAAATATAAATCGAAAGTACAATTTCATGTGTTAAGGAAAAGGGACTTGAGAAAGGAAGGCCACTCTATGGTGGGAAAGACTAAGTGCTGCCTTCATGGTGTCCTCCCTTGAGGAGCCCTCGCATTCTAGAAGAGGAAGCCATTTAGCCCAAAAGAAGGCAGTAGCTCTTGTTAGGGCTTTAGACTGGTGACATTCAGTGAAAGGGAAATGTAGGGGGAGATGTCTGGGGGTGAAGGAAGAGGATTTCCAGGAACCCCCCTTAATCAAGACTTCTGTGCAGTCGCCTTTCACATCGATGTGCAAAACCAGGCCAAATCTGGTTACTTGGAACATAAGGTCAATCTCACTAAAAACATGGAAATTCCAATGGGAATACTTAGGGGGAAGCCTGCCCCCCCCCCCAAAAAAAGAACATCAATCTCCAGTGCTAATCATTTGTTTAGCATTCAGTACATATTACTGAGCACTGATTAGGCCTTGAGCACATTGATGGGGACTGAATATAGGACTAAATAAGATCAGTTCCAGCTCCTAGTATAGCCAGTAGACAAGGAGAAAGATGTGTAAACCAGCTAATGTAAATAAGTGATAGGGCCTGTAGAATCAAATTAAGATATAATAAATACCGAAATACCAAATGTTGGCAAGGACGAGGAGCAGCGGGGACTTTCACATATTGCTGATAAGCCTGAAAAATGGTACAACCACTCTACAGAGCTAGTCGGCAATTTCCTATAACAAGTTAACACCCATCTGTGAACTAGCGATTCCATTCTGAAATATTAGCCCAAGAGATGAAAACCTGTATCACACACAAAAAATGTGTCCAAGAATAGTCCTAGCAGCCTTATTCATAATGGCCAAAAACTGGAAACAGCCCGGTGGTCTATTCAAAAGAGAATGAAGGAGTTGCAATCTATCATACAATGGCATGCTCATTAGCAATATACTATTGAAACATGCAACTACCTACATGGGTAAATTTTTAAAAATATTTTGTTGAGCAAAAGAATACTGACACAGCAAGTACATACTGACTGTATGAAACAATCTCAATTATTTACAGGAACAGCACAAGCTAACCTATAGTGATAAAAGGTTAGAAAGTGGTTGCTGCTGAGACTACATAGGGTAAGAAAACTGAATCGAAGAGGGTAGAAGGAAACTTCCAGAGGTGATGTTTTCTATCTTATTTTGAGTATTGTTTACATAGGCATATGTAATCATCAAAACTTAACCAGACATAACTGTGCATTTTATTAAATGTAAATTACTCAATAGAAAAATTAAATAGTATGCTCTAGAACTTAGCTTTGAAAGCGCTCTGTTGAGTTGCCTAGAATGCCTTAGCTCTGTGTTGTTCATCTAGAAAATTCCTATCAAGCCTCAAAAACCACATGTCAACAGCTTCTACACTCCAAGCAATCTTTCCCAGAACAAACTAGTTATGGCCCTACATCCCCTGAGGTTTCTACTGTGGGTGTTCTTAGAATATTTTACACAGTGGATTTTAAGTGTTTGCTTATCCTTGGATCTCCCTAATAAGTAGTAGCGGGAGGTGGGACAAAGAAAGAAGCTGAAAGAACTCCAAGAAATTTTCTCATGCCAAAATTACAAGAGTTTTTGTAGTTTACAGTTTGGGTGCCTCAGTTCTTTTTTTTTTTTTTTTTTTTAAAGATTTTATTTATTTATTTGAGAGAGAGAATGAGAGAGAGCACATGAGAGGGGGGAGGGTCAGAGGGAGAAGCAGACTCCCTGCCGAGCAGGGAGCCCGATGCGGGACTCGATCCAGGGACTCCAGGATCATGACCTGAGCCAAAGGCAGTCGCTTAACCAACTGAGCCACCCAGGCGCCCTCTTCGTAATTGGGTGCCTCAGTTCTTGATAAAAAGTCTTCTGGCTAATTCATCGAGGTTGCTAGGACACAGGCCCAGTTCTCTCAAGTGCTCATTTGTATGAAGCACAGAACAGAGATCTTGCCAGTAATGAGTAAAGTGACCACCATCCCTTCGCCTAAGTAATCAAGAAAAACACAAGATTGATGTATCTATTTCAGCCCAGGCAAGTCTCAGAAGATGGTATTGGGTGGAAGTGGTTTTGTTTTTTGTTTTTAAGATTTTATTTATTTGACATAGAGAGCACAAGCAGGGGAAGCGGCAGGCAGAGGGAGAAGCAGGCTCCCCACTGAGCAAGGAACCCAACGCGGGACTCGATCCCAGGACCCTGGATCATGACCTGAGCTGAAGGCAGCCGCTTAACTGACTGAGCCACCCAGGAGCCCCTGGGTGGAAGTAAGTTATTCTAGAAATGGCGAGTGCATCAGTGCAGGTCTTGCGTGGGCGCAGTCCACCCAACAGTCTTCCTCCTGGCACTCCAGGAGGCTTTGTTCGCCCAATAACTCCCTCACCCCTTCAACACAACACACAAAGTTAGCCTAGAGACTTCGTTTTGGAGGACGAGACTTAGGAAGGATGACAGAGGTCTTCAAATAGCCAAAGAGCCAGTATCAAGAAGAAAAATAATCTAAGACCACAAAGAGTAAGCATAGGCGTAGTGGGTAGAGATCCAGGCACGGGGGTGGAGATTAAGAACCATGGGTTACGAGCTGCAGTTCTCCAGTTTACTGGCTACCTGACTTTAGGTCAGTCACATCAGTTCTATGAACTCTGAGCTTTCTTCATCTATGAAATGGGAATTCCATCTCCCTTCACAGGATTGTGAGGATCTAACAGTCGAGTTTAGTGCATACGCAAAAGCACTCTGTAAATCTGTAAATGTTGTATAATTTAACTATTAGGCACATTTTCAATAAGCTCATTATAAACACAGGTTAGTAAGGAACGAAACAGAGGATAGTCTTGTGATTACAAGCATAAGCTCTGTAACAAAAGAGTCTTGAGTCCCAACTCTGCCACTCGCTAACATGGGTGATTCCGGCAGTGCAACTAACTTATGCACTGCTTCTGAAACAATGAAGATAATAGTATCTCTTTCTTAGGATTACTGTGAAGATTAGGACAATCTGCAGAAAACGGTTGGCAAATGTTTTCCACTGTAAGTGCTTACAATTGGTAGCTGCCCTCTTTCATATTAAAATATATAAAAGTCTAGCATGTTGCCTTATACAAACAGCTGCTGTAGGAGAGGGAAGAAGTATCTTTTTCCTTGTGCCCTCCTAGCTTCTAGCTGGGGCCCTGTAAATTAGACTGACAAGAGACAGATTAACAAGAGAAAAGCATACAAGTTGTATTAGCATGTGCACTGTGGATACCCATGGGTGAAATTAGTGAGGAGTAATTTAAAGAGGTAGATACAATTTGGGGTTTATATAACTAATTCAGCAGGAAAAAGGCAGGGGGATAAAAGGCACTTGTGGAAAAACCAATGACCTGTTGGAAAGATAAATCGACCCTAAAGAGAACAGATGAGACATGATAGTTTGTGACAGTGTCTGCCTGGGTATGGGGGCATACCTTGCTTTAGCAAGAATTTCCTGGTCCCTAGTCCTTCCAGAGTGCATTCTTTTTACAAGTTAAATATACGTACCATAGTGGATCCAACTTTGTGCTAGGTCACATCCCTCCCTGAGGACTAAAGATTATTTCTAGCTGTTGAGAGAGTTGCCAGGTGATTGCTCTCCTCACCAGACTTCTGTCTCCAAGAAGAAAGTAGAGAAATTGCTTCCAGGGAGGGGATTGAAGACAGTTGAGTTCTTTTTGGAGGTTCTGCTTCTAGGCAGGTAAGGGGTTTCAGGAACTCCTATGCCTTCGGCTCAAAATACTTCTTTTGGAAAAGTGACATATTTTGAGGTGGCATATCCTGATCTCAGTCACTACTCAATAAATATTGATTCCCCCAGGGGCCCCTGGGTGGCTCAGTCGTTAAGTGGCTGCCTTCGGCTCAGGTCACGGTCCCAGGGTCCTGGGATCGAGCCCCGCGTCAGGCTCCCTGCTCTGCGGGGAGCCTGCTTCTCCCTCTTGTATTCGCTCTCTCACTGTCTCTCTCTCTCTTTCTGTCAAATAAATAAATAAAATCTTTAAAAAAAATATTGATTCCCCCATACCTTACTTACCTTGGATTGAATAACATTGCAGAGTGCTGGTCTCTACATCACCTGAGGTCTTAAATTTGACAAAACTAGGCAATAAATCATTCAAACATTTCAGTGCTTACTATGTAAAAATGCCATAGGGTTTAATGGTGAATAAGACAGAAATACTGTTAAATTTACAATGTTGTTATGTTACAGAAGACACTGACTGACCTATAATGTGCCTCTTAAAACACTGGGTTCTCAGACTCACCTTAGCAACAATGCCATCTCTAATATTAGGTAACACTAGAACACAAGTGAGGGGAAGGTAGCATGAGGACTAGCAGTATAATGGCCAGAATGCCTTCCTAATATTATTAGGCATAAAATACGCTCTAATGCCCTGGGTTCAATCACAGCTCTTAACAGAACCACTAAGTCAGAATTGAGAAAACAGACTAAAGGAGATTATTTACAACACCCCAAGGACAGTAAAGGTCACAGCATCCCAGCCTACAATTCTACTCCCACAGCGGAAGAAAAATAAAAATGTAGGTCCTCATAAGAGATGTGGTTCTGCAACTGTACATAAAGGCAAGGAGGCAGCGTGGGTCAAGCTGGAAAACCAAGGACTTGACAATCAGATGTGTGACCTCAGTCAAGTTGATATCTTCTTGGTACATCAGGGTTTTTACTAGCAAAATGGAAATAACAGCATCTTCCTGGGATTGTTGAGAGATGAATTGAGGTGGGCCTCAGAAGACTGTTGGGCATGTGTCAAGCAGATGCTAGCTATTATCTGATGTGTGCTTGAATCAATAATGGTACACTTACTTTCCAGGTGAACTTCTCTGAATCGCAGTTTGGTATTCTCAAAAATAAACTGAGATATGCTTTTGACCAGCATCAAATTGTATAATTGGTTAAATATCCCATGTACTATATAACTATATACCGCATAGTAAGCCCTCAATTTCAGTTAGATCCAGAGGTAATCCCATAGTTCAATTCTTCCAAAAACACACAAGAAACAACAGGTGTTGGTGAGGATATGGAGAAAAAGAAACCCTTGTGCACTGTTGGGAGGAATGCAAACTGGTGCAAACACTGTGGAAAACAGTATGCAGGTTCCTCCAAAATTAAAAACAATTACCGTATGATCCAGTAATTCCACTACTGGGTATTTACCCAAAGAATATGAAAACACTAATTCAAAAAGATATATGCACCCTTATGTTTATTGCAACATTACTTACAATTGCCAGACATGGAAGCAGCCCAAATGTTTATTGATAGATGAATGGATAAATAAGTGGTGTATGTATACAATGGAATATTACTCAGCCATAAAAAGAATGGAATTTTGACATTTGCAACAACATGGATGAATCTAGAGAATATAATACTAAGTGAAATAAGTCAAAGACAAATACCACATGATTTCACTCATATGTGGAATTTAAGAAACAAAATAAATGGACCAAGAAAAAAAAAAAAGATAAACCAAGAAACAGACTGTTAACTACAGAGAACAAACAGATGGTTACCAGAGGGGAGGGGGGGTAGGAGGATAGGTGGAATAAGTGAAGGGGATCAAGAGGACACTTATCGTGATGAACACTGAGTAATGTACAGAATTGTGGAATCACTATATTGTACATCTGAAACTAATAGAATACTGTGTTAACTGTACTGGAATTAAAATTCAAAAAATATTCCCAAGTGTCCAAGCAGAATGAAAACAGTTTCACCCTAGTTAAGTCGGATTCCTTCTTTAGATCTTAAATGTCACTATCTCAGAGAAACCCTCTGTGAACCCCAATGCTAGAATAGTTCTCTTTCATATTTCTCAAAACATGGTATATTTTTCACAGCATATCTCACAAAGTATATTTTTTAGAGTAAGTAATTCTTTTCTTTGTTCTACCAGGGCATTCAGTACAAACATCTAACATAATTCATGTCCCACTAGTTTATGCTTTCTTGGGATTGCTCTCAGGCCAAGACAGTCACTTCAGAAAAGTTTTTGTCCTTTCCTCACCAGTAGCCATGACTGGTCAGTGAGGGATTTTAGTGTTTGGCCTCCTTGCCTCAAGGTGGGACAACTCTAAAGGGTAATCCTAGCTCTGGGACCTCTGCTGAACAATTCCCCTCCCCTCCCACTGATGAAATTTCCTTCCCTCACTCCCCTGACAGGGCACTTCCCCACTTACCAAAGTGCAGCTGGGGGGCTTGAGTTTAACATCTTCTCAAATAACACAGTTACAGACAATTTAATGGTCCGTAAACATTGGCAGTGCTTAAGGCAGAATGAAGACACAAGTAAATGGACTTTTCCACAAACATCAATGACAAACTTTTGGGAAGATCTCATTGCCTGGCTTATAAAGGCTTCATCTTGAGTCTCATACAGATAGAAAAACAACTCCAGAAATTCCAGCTGTGCTGGAAAATGTTCGCTGTTCCCCAGTATCTCGAGCCACTGAAGGATCTTCCTTTTTATCTCCAGTGACATTTTACAGTTCAAAGTTGTCTCCAGTTGTTTTACTAGATCATCATTCAAAAGGCCAAACAAAAAGCGTTTCGTCTGCATCAAATGGGGATCTTGATCACTGTTGCTTTCAAGCAATAGCTTCAAATCTTCAAAAGACTGAAGGGAATTGTTCCTGGTCCCCCAATTGTCTTTCAACATATAGAACATAGCTGCAAGAAACTCCTGAACATGCAGGTGGGTGAACACATAGCAATTTTCATACTCCGTGTGCTTTTGAAGAATACTCATGTCCAGGAAAATCAGCACATCCTAGTTTATGCTTAGATCTCCTCCAGAAGGTATGTATCACAAGGCAGATACTCTTTATGGTATGATATCTTGTACAGTGAAGTACTCAAAAGAAAATGGGGATTATGAGGATGATTTTTACTTTCTTCGTTATACTTTTATCTATCTTCCATTTTCTAACAGTTAACTGCTATGAGGGGGAATCCTGATTTCCTAAATTTATGGCCAGTAATAAATACCATAAGAATAAACTTCCTTATACCAAATCAGAAATTAAGGTCAAAGCAGAAAGTTATCTTCAAGATCATTTAACACAATAAGCAATTTTTATTTATTAGTGCTTGGAATAAACTAGGTCTCAATTACTCCTTGAATGAAATAATGTGGCCCATCAGAAAACAGCATAGCTGGGTTAAGAATGATTTCTCACCTGGTCGTTTTCTTTCTACGGTAATTCTATTTATACAAACTAGAATTCAACTACATAGAATTTGAAACAAATTAGGGGGAATGGAAATGGTATTGAAGTAAGACTAAGAAGACCTGGTTCTAGAAATTACATTCTATATGGACGAGTTGGTCACCACTCCTGGAACTTAATTACAGGATCATTTCTAAAGGAAGAAAGTGGTTGTGATAAACCCAACAGTCCTTTCCAAACTCAGGGACTCTTTAATCTGTAAAATGAGACATGAATACACCCTTCTTCATCAGACTGTGAGCTTCTGACTGGGCATTTCCAAATACTCCTCTTACTGAGGCCCTGAATTAACATGGCCCTGATTCTGACCTTGGCCAGAAAGCCAGTTTTGTTGACTCTTTTTGAATAATCATCATCAACTGTCCCCTGGGGCATAAACCCCTATTACACTTCAAACCCTCAAGCTCCTCCCAAATCTGAAAACAAAACACATCTACTCACCCTCCACTGCCTCCTGATCATCTTGCTCCTCCTGTGTCCTGGCATCCTCTGGTCCCATGGTCTGGGCTGTCCCTGTGACAGGTTCCAACAGGATTAGGAGGTTCACCAAAGACAAGGGGAGCTTTAGTGATAGCTAGAACAGGGGCCAGAATTGTCCTCAGCAGTCCATTTCTATGACATCTGGGCTTAAGAAAACTGGAGCCAACGGAGCCTCAGACTCCACCAGCTTAGCTAAGGGAGAAGTGATGTGGTATCAACAACACTGGAGCAGGGACCTCTTGCCAGACCCTCCATCCTGTAACTTGAGGGCAGGTGCCTTAGTCTAAACCTGTTTCCTTGTCTACTCTGACCTCACAGGAATATGGTGAGGCTCCTGGGAAATAATGAATACAACTTTATAGCTGTAAAGCCTTGTAAAGAACACAAGAAAGAAAATTTTGATGTCTAATATTTCATACTTAGGAATGACCAAAGATATCAGCTTGGCTTATGCCCCTTAATATTTTGCCCATTCCTCATATTTTAGCAAAGATTTTAAATCCTATTTTAAGTTATTTAAAATTTAATGCAACCTATGACTATTTGCAGTTCAGGCAAAGGAACACTAGATGGGACAATTCTTATCATTCAATTCCTTTAATCATCCTACCTGGTACAAGATGGCTGAATTACTCCCAATTAAGGAGCCAGGCTGAGTAATAGCACTCAAAACCCTCCTGCCTCTTCAGGGTTTTTCAAATGATCCAACAATGGTTTAATCCCCAAGTCCCTTTCAGAGAATCATGCCGATGGGCCTCAGGAAGCACACCCTTCCCCCAGCCCCAGACAGGTCCCCAGCATCACTCACAGTTGCTCTCTCACACAGATCCTTCAGGTTCATCTTGCCGAAGATTTTGAGAGCGACATCCCAGGCTTGCTCCCCGGGATAATATTTTTTCATCAGATTAGCCAGGTCTTCTCAATTGGCCTTCTTCACACCAGCCCAGACAGAGTATCTGGCAGTCCCTGGGCTCCACAGTCTCATTCTTTAAAAGTAACTTGAATTTATTCAATTCCTCTTTGTTTAGCTCTTCTAAATACAATAGCAGCCCAAAGTCAGGAAAGAAGGAAGACAACGACCAATCTGTTATCTTGCTCACGGATCAGTATTCAGGCTTCGGTGGGAGAAAAACAATCAGAAGAACATGAATAGGGGCACCTGGGTGGTACAGTCTGTTGAGTGTCCGACTCTTGGTTTCTGCTCAGGTGGTGATCTCAGGGTCGTGAGATGGAGCCCCGTGTAGGGCTCCAAGTTCAGTGCAGGGTCTGCTTAAGACTCTCTCTGCCTCTGCCCCTCCCCCCTGAACACCCTCTCTCGGGGCGGGGGGCGGGGGAGGAGAGGGGGAGTGGGGCGGGGGTAGCAGGAGGGAAGGGAGGAGCAGGGGGGGACTGAGGGGGTAGTGGGGGGAAAAGAAGAGCTAGGGCGCGTGGGTGGCTCAGTCGGTTAAGCATCTGCCTTCGGCTCAGGTCATGATCCTGGAGTCCCGGGATCGAGCCCCGCATCGGGCTCCCTGCTCAGCGGGGAGCCTGCTTCTCCCTCTGACCCTCCCCCCTCTCATGCTCTCTGTCTCTCATTCTCTCTCTCTCAAATAAATAAATAAAATCTTTAAAAAAAAAAAAAAAGTCTAGGGCGCCTGGGTGGCTCAGTTGGTTAAGCGACTGCCTTCAGCTCAGGTCATGATCCCAGAGTCCTGGATTGAGTCCCACATCAGGCTCCCTGCTCAGCGGGGAGCCTGCTTCTCCCTCTCCTGCTCTCCCTGCTTGTGTTCTCTCTCTCTGTCAATAAAATCTTAAAAAAAAAAAAAAGAAAGAAAAAGAAAGCTAAACTAAAAAAAAAAATAACAGGTTCATCTAAAAAAAAGAATATGAACAAACAGGACTGATGGAAAGGATTAGAAAACAAAATGCCTATAAAAATATAGATTAATTCCACAAACACGTGTTGAAGCCCCAGTGTTAGGTTCAGTATTTAGTGTCCCCTGTACTACATTTGCTGTCACAAAAACATTCCTTTAATACAGACCACTGTAGGTTTCTTCCACCTTCCCAAAGTTACTCCCAGTCCCACAACTTATGAGCTGTAAGAAATAAAGGCAATTCATCTCTCTGAGCCTCAGTTTACTCTCCTGAAGTGAGGAGATCAGAATCACCCTCAGAGAACTGCAGTACGGATTAAATGAGGTAGAGTTCATCTATCACCTGGCACAGACCAGGCTCCTAAGTACCAGCAACTCTCCTCGTGCCTTCACTCCCTGACCAACACCCAACATGTATCTCAGCCCATAAAACATTGTTATTGCACCCCCACCAACACATCATTACTCTTGAAGAACAAACAACTGGAATATGCCACCATCTAGCTCTTTTTGTCCTGTCATCTCTGGTCACAAATCCATACACAGCCAGTGAGGGTCTGCGTTTCCAGCTCACGAGCTCCTTCCACACCCACTCCCCAACACTGCACATATTCTGGAAGTGTTCCACATTAAAGCTCACCCAAAACCACATTCTCTCACATCACTGACCTCAGCTCCCCTGACCATGTTCCACTCCAACATTTCATTCTGATGCTCACTCCAGACTTTATCAGCAAGGACTACTCTACACTTAACCCACAGGCTCCTATAACCCATTCTCTCCTAATACCTTCCAGGTAACAGAGCAATTTCTTGCCCTCCCTCCCACTGTGACAGTTCTTCCAATACAATCAAATCCTCTTCTTTTGAGGCGGTTTTCCTTTTATCTATCAGCCACTTAAGAGCCTTATACAGTTTGTTATTCAGCACAGGTACCTCCAGTTAATCACTTAAACTGTGTCAAGTGCCTCATCTCCTTTTGAGTAACTGGTTAGAGAGGCAGAGCTAGTAAGTAATACAGACAGAACTGAGATCCTTCCGTCCTCCAAAATACTTAACCCTAATCTTGCTAATGGGCCTGTAAAAGAAGGATGAGGGAAATAAAAATGTACAGGAGGGGGATTTTACTTCTTAAGCAGAAAGTGAATTACCTCAAAATTACATAGTAAATCAGGACTTTATCCTACAGTAATTAGGGAGCAATCAACTATTTTAGGAACTTGTCTTTTTTTTTTTTAACTGCACTGAAGAAATATTCTAGATTCTAGATTAGGATGTGACCAAAACAGGTTCCATAGTAATTTTTTAAGAAGAAGCAAAAAGGAATAAATTTGAGGAAACTTCAAAGGAACACTGAAATTTCTCCAGGACCAAAAGGCTTCTCCCTGACCACTCAGTAGTCTCAACGACATATAAACATGTCCAACTCTAGTCTTACATAAATGTTCCCTTTACTCCACTTCTGCTTCATCTTCATGCTCAAACTTCTTCAGAGTCTTCTATATGTAACCTATTATTCCTCCACAATCCACTGCAATCTCACTTTTGCAACCAGAATTCCACTGAGATAACTTATACCAATTACCACCCTGTTGCAAAACCCAATAGGTATTTATTTTTGGATTCAACGGTCATATCTATAAGCAAGAAAAAGAATAGTCCCTACCTCTGCAAAGATTAGAAGTTAATGCACGCACCTAACTTACAGGGTGCCATACATATAATAATTACTGTTTTAACAATGCCTTACTGCTTGATGTTCTCTTTCCCCTTTGCTTTCATAATACCACACTTTCTTCATTTTCCTCTGGTCTTTTCAGATGTCTCTGTGAGCCAAGATCTGTATGGTTCTGAATCCTATTGGGTTTCTACTACTACATGAGGTCTACTATTCTGAGAGAAAGTACCATATACTCTGGCCTCCTTCCCAAAGGTTTTATGCTGTTCTTAAAGGAACTGGTATTTTTGTTCTGTGGTCTTCCGTTGTTTATATTTTTGGGAAAAGGAAAACTTCTCTGGGGTTGCTCTTCTTATTTCAAGGCATATCATAAATTCCAACATATTCTGAACTAAAATGGGAATCAATAGTCTAAGAGGATTTATTTCAATTTGCAAATTTATTGGTGTAAATGTTTGCCCCTTATAATTAAAGCACATTTGTTCAAACTATTCATTCAGTGCACAATAATGACCACATTTGTTGAAGATCTACAGTGTATAGGTTCTTCGTGAAAATTTTCTTTAGTCTTAAAAACAGTCCTGAAACTTGCCTAGGTTACAGAGTTGACAAGTGGCCAAACTACGAAGCTCATTCTCTTTCTACCAGGTAACACTGCCTTTTAATTTCACTTTATTTTTCTAGGCACAGGGAATTCGGGGTTAAATGCAATCTGGGTGACCATGTTCTGTGATACTGGACCCTGCGCTGAACACCGGGCTTTGGGAAGAGGAGGACCTCTAAATATGTAATGGCATTTTTTCTGAGCTCTAGTAGTACTCTAGAACACGAAGGAGGGATTCTTTTCTAGAAAGGGTAGAGATGAGAAAGTTTGGGGGAAGTGACATTTTATCTAGAAAACAGGATATTCTCACCCTTTTCATAGACTCTTGCCTGATTTTCTTTCTTGGTTGCTCTGATGGAATCTCCTCTAGCAGTTTCTCAACCTGGCTACTACTAACCTTGTCGGCCAGACCATTCTTTATTTGAGGGACTCTCAGATGCACTATATGATGTGTAGCAGCACTGCTGGCCTCTACCCACTAGATACCATTCGAATTTTCAGTCTCCCACAGTTGTGACAAAGTATCTTCAGACATTGCCAGATGTCCCCAGGGCAGCAAACTGCCCCAGGGTGAAACCACTTCCAAAGCCTTACCAACTCTATTGCTGAATATGCACCTCAATCAGTCCTTCTCTATGATGCTACCATAACAAACAAATCAAAGCAGCAGAGTAGATAACTCAGGAAAAGACAATCTGATAAGATTTTATGTATAACAGAAGGAATACTGTAATTGAAAAGGAAAGCATTTCAGTGCAGATTATTAGGACAACTGGTAAACCATTCAGAAAAAATTAGTATCTTTACAGAATAAAGCTCAGAGTAAATCAGTAAGCCATTAATAATACTTCAAACCAGAGGGGGGGAAATAGCAGAGAATATTCATTACACCTTAGGAGAGGAAGGATTTACCAGCTTGGGCACAATAAGGGAAATGATTGAAAATCTGGATGACTATTAGACGATACAGTTAACTATGTTGAAATTACAGCCTCTTGTCCATAAGAATAAAAAAGTAGCAAAAAATTTTATAGGAAATTTGGCAAATATAGTTGGAGTATAAATCAGCAAAAACCACTTCAGAACTGTTGACATTAACTATTAAAATTGTAGATATGTACCCAGACTCAGCTCTTGGTTCTAATACTATTCTCCAATAAGAGGAATCAGGGCTTCTTGGAGAAATTGCAGATTCTAGGGCTGGGAATATACAAGATGAGCCTAGAGCTTATAGTACCAGAAAGGAAAAAGGATACGGTAGGTCAAAAAGACATAGCCAACTGGAAAGAGCTCCCACTGGCCAAAATAACATACTATTTTATTATAACCCAAAGCAGAAAGCAAATATCCAAGAGTATATACAGATATAAATGACTGAATGAATAAATAAATGGGGGGGGAAAGACCAATGAATAAATGGGGGGAATGAATAATGGGGGGAAAAAGACCAATCTCTCTTACGGAAGAATTCCAAATATGTTACATAGATATTCCCTCCTCCAGGAAGTAAATCTTAACCCTATTCCACTCCTACACATGAGTGTGGACTGTGCTTAGCAATTTGCTAAGTGGGGAAACCTGATAAACATGGTCTCAGCCTGGCGATCAAGGTTATCAGTCATAGGTCATTGTTAATAGTATGTACCATTGATAACTACGTGATGAGAATGATATGTCACCACTGTCCTATTTCTCCCCCAAAACCTAAATCCCAGTCTATACATGAGGAAAACATCAAGACAAACCCAAAATGACGTGCTACAAAATACCTGACCAGTACTTCTCAAAACCGTCAGGGTCCTCTAAAAAAAAAAAAAAGGGCAAGAGGCAGCAGAAAGAGAAATCAAGGAATCAATCCCATTTACATTTGCACCAAAAACCATAAGATACCTAGGAATCAACCTAACCAAAGAGGTAAAGGATCTGTACTCTGAAAACTATATAACACTTATGGAAGAAATTGAGGAAGACACAAAGAAATGCAAAAGCATTCCATGCTCATGGATTGGAAGAACAAATATTGTTAAAATATCTATACTACCCAAAGCAATATACATATTCAATGCAATCCCTATCAAAATATCACCAGCATTTTTCACAGAGCTGAACAACCCTAAAATTTGTATGGAATCAGAAAGGACCCCGAATCGCCAAAGTAATGTTGAAAAAAAAACCAAAGCTGGTGGCATCACAATTCCAGAATTCCAGCTCTATTACAAAGCTGTCATCATCAAGACAGTATGGTACTGGCACAAAAACAGACACATAGATCAATGGAACAGAATAGAGAACCCAGAAATGGACCCTCAACTCTATGGTCAACTAATCTTCGACAAAGCAGGAAAGAATATCCAATGGAGAAAAGACAGTCTCTTCAACAAATGGTGTCGGGAAAATTGGACAGTCACATGCAGAAGAATGAAATTAGACCACTTACACCACACACAAAAATAAACTCAAAATGGATGAAAGACCTAAATGTGAGACAAGAATCCATCAAAATCCTAGAAGAGAACACAGTAGCAACCTCTATGACCTTAGCCATGGCAACTTCTGGCTAGACATGTTTCCAAAGGCAAAAATGAACTACCGGGACTTCATCAAGATAAAAAGCTTCTGCACAGCAAAGGAAATAACAAAACTAAAAGACAACTGACAGAATGGGAGAAGATATTTGCAAATGACATATCAGATAAAGGGCTAGTATCCAAAATCTATAAAGAATTTATCAAACTTGGGCGCCTGGGTGGCTCAGTTGGTTAAGCGACTACCTTCGGCTCAGGTCATGATCCTGGAGTTCCAGGATCGAGTCCCGCATCAGGCTCCTCTGACCCTCCCCCCTCTCATGTACTCTTTCTCTCTCATTCTCTCTCTCAAAATAAATAAAATCTAAAAAAAATAATTTATCAAACTCAACACCCAGAAAAAACAGAAGAATCCAGTCAAGAAATGGGCAGAGGGGCGCCTGGGTGGCTCAGTCATTAAGTGTCTGCCTTCGGCTCAGGTCATGATCCCAGGGTACTGGGATCGAGTCCCACATCGGGCTCCCTGCTCAGCAGGAAGCCTGCTTCTCCCTCCTCCATTCCCCCCTGCTTGTGTTCCCTCTCTCGCTGTCTCTCTCTGTCAAAATAAATAAATAAAATCTTAAAAAAAAAAAAAAAGAAATGGGCAGAAGACACGAACACACATTTCTCCAAATAAGACATACAAAAGGCTAACAGAGGGGTGGCTGGGTGGCTCCATCAGTTAAGCGTCAGACTCTCAATTTTGGCTCAGGTCATAATCTCAGGGTCCTGAGATTCCTGAGATTGAGCACCCCGTTGGGCTCCACCCTCAGCAGAGAGCCTGTCAGATTCTCTCATCCTTTCCCTCTCCCTCTGCCCCTCCCCCTGCTCACTCACATGTGTGCACGCCCTCTAAAAATAAATATTTTTTAAAAATGTCCAACACACAAAAAAATGCTCAACATCACTCATCATCAGGGAAATACAAATCAAAACCACAATGAGATACAATGACACACCTGTCAGGATGGTTAAAATTAACAACTCAGGAAACAACAGATGTTGGTAAGGATGCAGAGAAAGGGGAACCCTCCTACACTGTTGGTGGGAATGCAAACTGGTGCAGCCCCTCTGGAAAATAGTATGAAGGTTATTTATTTTTATTTATTTATTTATTTTTTTAAAGATTTTATTTATTTATTTGTGAGAGAGAGAATGAGAGAGAGCACATGAGAGGGGGGAGGGTCAGAGGGAGAAGCAGACCCCCTGCTGAGCAAGGAGCCCGATGCGGGACTCGATCCCGGGACTCCAGGATCATGACCTGAGCCGAAGGCAGTCGCTTAACCGACTGAGCCACCCAGGCGCCCAGTATGAAGGTTATTTAAAAAATTAAAAATAGAACTACCCTATGACCCAGCAATTGCACTACTAGGTATTTATCCAAAGGATACAAAAATAGTGATTCAAAGGGGTACATGACCCCCCAATGTTTATAAAAGCAATGTTCACAACAGCCAAAATATGCAAAGAGCTCAGATATCCATTGATGGATGAAGGGATAAAGAAGATGTGGTGCATATATACAATAGAATATTATTCAGCCATCAAAAACAATGAAATCTTGCCATTTGCAAGGATGTGGATGGAACTAGAGGAACAGAGGGTATTGTGCTAAGTGAAGTCAGTTGGAG